ACCCAGGACATAAGCTCCAGTTTTCTCTGGCTTGGCTGTTAAATAGGTCTTTGTAGGCCCCCAAAATGCTGCTGCACATCTCCCTCCCCCAGAGACCTGTTGCGGAATCTGCTGGGAGCCAAACATAACCACGTTTTCTAAGTGGAAACTGAATTCTTCCCACACCCCGTTAGTCCTGGCCAGGTTTGTTCCTCTGCAGGTGACCTTTTCAAGGCTTCTCCCTTCAGTGAAAGCAGCAGCAGGCAAATGCCACTTTGAGTATTCAGCATCTGCCATGGGATCAGGCAGCTCCTGACAGCACTGGAGCATCTCAACTAGCTGCTGTTAATCTAACCCATAGTTACCAGCTCAGCTGCAGCCTCTCTCTGGCTTCTGCCTGGTCTTGTGGCTCCTGACCTGCTTGGAGCTGCTCTGGGAGGCCCTTGGGTGTGGAGGAGCTGTGTCTGTGCAGAAGCTGGCAGGGAAACTGCTCATTCTCAGCACATCCTCCAGTCTGTGTGCACCTGCAGCATGGGAGGGAAGTTGTGTTTAAGCCCCCATCATGGAATAACCACAAAAGAGGTTCTGCTCCAGGATGGGGTCTGTGGGGCCTCCCTGACTCTCCTGAGTTTATGCTGGTCACTGAGCCTCTTCACTGCTAAATTGATGGCTCTGGGGTGGTGACCTGTCCTGCTCCAAGGGTCCAGGACATCTTTTGAGTCTTGTCTCTGCCCTAGGCCTCTGAGGAGAAGATCAGGACAACAGAGACACAAGTGCTGGTGGCCTCTGCCCAAAAGATTTTTAGCTCATTGCTGAGCTGTGGGATGCTGGAATCAAGGTATGACCAGGTGATGGCAAAGTCAGGAGCTGCCTGGTCCACCCTGTGCTGGGGATGGACCAGATCTGGCTTTGCTTTGGGAGGAAGGAGTCACAGGGAGAAGGTGGGCAGCAGAAGGGCTTCCTGAATGGAGCCTGCCTCTTGGTGTCCTGAATCAGGTGTTCTGCAGGAAGGGCTGGGCAGTGTGGCTTGGTTAGCCCTGTAACACTGCAGGTGCTGCTCTGTGTCTGTCACCTCAGGGCTAATTCCCAAAGCAGGCAACACTCCAGCCCCTGCTGTGTGGCAGCTGGAATACCATGCTGCTCCCAAAAAAGTGGAGCCTTGCAAGGGGAAAGTGGGGCCAGGGAGGAGCCTGGGCTGTTTTCTGCCATTCCCTCTTGTCCTGTCCCTACAGGCCCTTGTCCAAAGCCCCTCTCCAGGTTTCCTGCAGCCCCTTTAGGCACTGGAGCTGCTCTAAGGTGTCCCCTTCAGGAGCCTTCTCTTCTCCAGCTGACCCAGCCCAACTCTCTCAGCCTGGCTCCAGAGCAGAGCTGCTCCAGTCCTCACAGCAGCTCTGTGGCCTCCTCTGGACCCACTCCAGCAGCTCCACATGTTATGGTGCTGTTCTCTGGTTCTCTTCCAGGCAGAAGTGCTCTACAAGAAGAACCCCAAGCTGCTGAATCAGCTGCAGTACTGTGAGGACACCGGCATCCCTCTTGTTGCCATCGTGGGCGAGCAGGAGCTCAAGGATGGAGTCATCAAGCTGCGGGTGGTGGCAACCAGGGAGGAGGTGAGGCCCGGGGAAGGTTGGTGTGAGGGGGATGAAGGCTTCTTGACCCTTCATCCCAGTTCAGGTCAGCCTTCCAGACCCATCTGTGCCTGCTCTGCAGTGGTGCCCTCAGGCTATACGTGGCAACATGGCTTTGCTGGCCCATGTTTTGTGTGTAGTGTCCAAAGGGAACTGGCAGACTCGAGGTGAGGGCTGCGGACTGATGTTGGTGGCCTTGTGGGTGCACATTAGGAGACATGCTGTGGAGCACATGCCCTGGTGTCTGTTTGCCACCAAGCCCCCTGTAACAGGTTCTCGGGATGTTATACAGTGGCTTTCTCAGTAGATCTTTTCAAGCAGAGGTCTCTCCAGGGACTTCTGTAACACCTCACATTCCAGTTCCTCACCCCACGCAGTTTCCTAGAGCTGTGGAGCAGTTTGCCATCATGTGGCCTCCTTGAACTCTCAGATATTCCTCAGTTCAGGAGCCTGGAACATGGAGGGGTGATTCCATGTGCAACTGCTCGTGCTTTCCACCCAGGGCATGGGACCAATGATGAAGATCTAGGAGGTGCCCTCATGGAATGAGTGGGACCAGTGCTATCTATGCACTGGTCTTGGCTTTGGAATCAGTAGGAAGGAGTGGGAAGAGCATCACTCTCACGATCATGGGCAGGAGAGGGCTTGACGGGTTGCAGGCAGGTGGTTGCTCCCATGGATTCACTCCACAAGTGCTGCAGCCCACTTGATCCCTGCAGTGGGGCTGGTGCCAGCACCATGCTGTGACCACAGGGCCCCAGTCCAGTGCCAGCCATCCCTGTGGGACCAGGGAAGGTCATGATCCATCAAGCTGCTTGTGTGGTATTGAAGCAACTTTGTGCTCCCCTGTGCAGGTCAACGTTCGCAGGGAAAACCTGGTAGAGGAGATAAGGGTGCGAACGAGCTGTCCCTAACCCCCTTCTGGATGTGTCTACTTGTTTGTTGGATTCTGGCTGACAGATTTCCTCCTGTAAATACCTTCACCAGCCCATGGAGCAACAGAGGCAGGGGGGCCTTTGAACACTGTATTTATTCTTGTCTCATGCCCTCCCTTTCCCGGTGGGAGCAGAGAGGCTGTGCTGACGACTGTGACATGCCCTGGCCCTTGAGTGTGTTGCTGGAAGGATGGTTTTGAGTGGCTCTGGCAAATGCTGGGGTGGCTCTAGTGACACGTGGAGTCCCATGGTGACATGTGGAGCCCTGTGCTGGCAGCAGACCCCAGAGGCTTGGCGGCAGCTTCTTGTTCCTGTCGTTTTGAATCAACATCCTGCCCTGTCCCTCTGCTCTGGCTGCAGGGAGGTGACCTTATCCTGAGCAACATGTAAAGGCACTGCTCCCAGGAACATAATAAACTTGTCTCTCCCACTCTCTGCCTCCTGTTCCTACTTCCTGCCAGGGGCAGGGATTTGCTTCCCTGCCTCGCTGAGCAGGAGCTGTGGTTTAAATGTCACGGCGGATGTTTCTTCAGCTGCCTTAGTTCGTCCTCACCCGCGGCTCCCACC